AGTACTCAAATTATTTATATTTTATAGTGGCGGCAAAAAGTCTAGCGCTGGCCTTGAAAGTGACACGACTTATGAGGTATCATTATTAAAAAAAATATTGATAAGGAAAAGGTTAACTCTCAGGCATCAGCAAAAGTCACAATAGAGAACAAATGGTTAGAAACAAACAAATGGTTTGAAACAAACCATGTTCCATACAATAATGCACTAAAAATTGTGGGATACGCGCTGTCCTTATCAGGAACTAATGCTGTGACTGAACGTGTTTTTCCTACGGTAAATAAAGTGTGGATATCAGAAAAATCACAATTAAGCGTTGAGACTTTGAAAGCCATTTTGTATGTGAAATATAATTTAACAAATTCTTGTGAAAAATTTCATGATCTTTTAAACAATGACAACATCTACCAAAAAAATTCACTCAAATGAGAAATATGCCAAAGAATAATACTATACATCATTTTTTAATGTATATTTGTAAATTGTACTTATGTTGAAATTAAAAAATATATATTACAATACTATTTTTGCATTCTATGAAAATTTTTGTTGCTCCATACAGACCAAATTTTTAATTAAGAACCCCTCCCCCGTGGGGTCAATGGTGTCCCACTTTGACCATGTTAAAATCTGGTCACCTTACTATAAACCCAATAATAACCAACTACCAAATAGGAGTAAATCATTCCTTATTGGTCAGGAGACAAAAAGACCGCTGGTTATGCATCTTTGGCTGGGTGAAAGTGAGGACAAGATGGACAGGAAAAGTGAAAGGAGGCCTGGAAAGTCTCCTAGTGGGTGGAAGGGCTAAGCAAGGCTCTGTGAGGAGGGAGATCCAGGGAGTTTGGGACAAGGAGACACAAGGATTTTCATGTGTGGTTTAGTCTGCCTTGGTGATCTGCAGATATGGTGATAAGAGGTGCCTCCCAGGAGGTGGCTCTGTACTCAGGCACCAAGGCTTAACTGCAAGGCCAGGTGGTCATGCCAAAGTACACATCCGAGCCTCCATTTCCTGCCCTTACTCCATGGCTCCCCACCAGCCGGGTTATTTAAGTTCAAATCCTTTAACCTACTGAGGTCTCTGCTGACTGTGGCTACAGCCGCCTCTCAAAGCCTCATTTCCTACTGCACCATTGCCTTTTCCCATAGTTCTTGTGGTCCCCTCTTTTCTAAATAGTTTCTTCCCGCACTGGGCCCCTAAAAACTCATTCTTTGGCTTAACATGCAGCCCTTCTCTTTTGTCCCCTGACAAGTCCCTTCAAAACCAAACTTGGAGCCAGCACAATGGTATGTACTTGTGATCCCGGCTACTCCAGAGGCGTGCTTAAGCCCAAGAGTTTAAATTCAGCCTGGGCAACTTAGTGAGACCTCCAACTCTAAAAAAGGGGAGGAAGGGAGGGAGGAAAGAAGGGAGGAAGGGAGAGAGAGTGGGAGGGAAAAGAGAGAGAGGAAGAAAGACCAAGTACTTTTTTCACAGCTTGCCTAGAGTAAAGGAACAAAACTAAACAAACTGATGAGCCCCCTCCTGTTGCAGTCTTTCCAGACCCCCTTTCTGCCTCAGAGATTTATGTAGGTTCCCTCCACCCACGCCACTGGCTCCTCTTGAGGAATGTGCCTTTGCTACACTATTATTGCTCACTTTCCTGTCTTCTGGACCTGACTGAGGATCCCGAGAGCAGGACTACGACTTAATTATGCACTCATCAGTGTCCTCTTCTTGGGGACACAGAGATTAGTAATGCCTGGTCCTGTTCTTGAGATGTTAACAATCTATAGTCCAGCATATAGCCATTGCAGAATAAATGAATAAAGGATAAATAAATATATAATACTGTTAGCACCATCAACACTAACAAATTGAACACATAAAATTCAAATAGGGCGAGCACGATGGCTCACTCCTATAATCCTAGCACTCTAGGAGGCTGGGGCAAGTAGAAATTCATGAGTTCAGGAGTTGGAGACCATATGAGCAAGAGCCAGACCCCATCTCTACTAAAAATAGAAGAACTAGCCAGGCATCATGGCAGGTACTTGAGTCTCAGCTACTTGGGAGGCTGAGGCAAAAAGATTGCTCAAACCCAGGAGTCTGAGATTGCTGTGAGCTATGATGCTACTGCACTCTACCCAGGGTGACAGAGTGAGACTGCCTCAAAAAAAATAATAAAATATATATCCATGATTGCATTAATGTACACAGCTATGATTTAATAAAAAGATCTTTAAAAAATATAATATAATAAAACTCTCAAATAAGAAACATGAACTATCCTCCCATCACTTTTATTGTAATCATTCAAGGAGGAGAGGGTTTCCTCTGACGGTGTAACCAAAACACAACTGCCTTGCGTATGTAGGAGTGTTAATATGAACAATCAGAGCTCACGAAGCAGCTCATGAAGAAAATGAAGGTAACAGTGACCAGTTTAAGAGTCAGGAACTTCAAATTCCAGGCCTGAGATTGCAGTCTGGGGCCTCAGACAAGTCACAAATTATGTCTAGGCCTAGTATGATAGGACTACATGATCCTACACTTCCTTCATGCTTTAATAATTTAAGGACTTTATTTACATTCCTTTCATACACTTTGGTTTAAGTAGAAATGTAGATAAAAAGGAAAAGTTGGTGTATGAGTGTGTTCTGAACTTCTTGACATAGCTAGTGTACCAGAGACTACTATTTTGCTTAGCCAAAGTCCATTCTCTCTTAGTCCTTAGAGTCCCAAGCTGTTGGGCAGCAATGTGAGTACTAAAACTTATTTCCCAGCTTCCTCTGAAACAGGGGTGGCCCTGTGACACAGTTCTTTCTGCCTAGGGACATGTACACAGAGGGGTTTGGATCATAGTCCTGAAAGACACAATTCCAAATGCTATAATCTCAAACGTTGAAATCCTGAAAGATCAAAATCCCTAAAGTCTAAAATCTCTAAGGTCTAAAATCCCCGAAATCCCAATCACAGGATACTTGCATCACAGGAGGTGGAACTATTACCTTATTGTGTTCATTTGGAAATTAAGTATTGATTAAGGAGATGCACATGGGCACTGAATTGACGAGGGTCAGATTTGAGCACCTAAATTTTAGGTGACAACTTGATTAGATTAAGGCATACCTAGAAACCAGAGAAAGTGTTATTTTGAATGTGTTTGTGAGGGTGTTTCCAGAGAAGGTGGCCATGCGAGTCTGAATGGATTAGGTGGAGATCATCTACCCACAATGTTGGTGGACACCATCCAATTGGCCGGGGACACAGAAAGAACAAATACTGAAGGTGAACAGTCTCTCTCTGAAAGCCAGGACTGACTTCTCCTCTGTTGCCCTGGACATCAGAACTCCAAGACTTGCACCAGCAGTCCCTAGGGGCCTGAGTCCCCTTTCAGCCTCAGACTAAGTTACACCATCAGTTTCCCTGGTTCTGTGGCCTTTGGGTTTGGATGGGGCCATAAAACTAAGATTTGAAGGTCTCTAGCTTGCAGACATCCTACTGTGGTACTTCTCACGTATGTGTATGAGGGGGGATATAAATTCCCTCTCCCATGGCCCCCACTAGTATTTCTGTCTCTCTGGAGAACCCTAATACAGATTTGGTGTTGGGAAAGCTGAATTTCATTCCCTCTTACCGTATTCCTTGCAACACAATGGAACAGATCTGTAAAACTATTCCCTCACAATAAGTTAAGGGTATGAGGCTACTTAATGGTGTAAGATAAAAATTTAAAAGCTAATCATTAT